ATTTACTTACCATTTCATCTCTACGCCTATGTATTGTACGTTCTTTTTCATTATTCGTATTTTTCTATAGTCTATCCCTTTCGTTTTTTCTGTTCTGTCTTTTTATCTATATATTCCTCTTGTAACAGACTCTATTCTCTCATTTTATTTGTCTATCCATCTATCTCTGAATGAAAGACAGACATACAGAGTAAGGAACAGAGAATGATTCGTTCTCTTTCTTTCTCTCTTTCTCTCTGATTAAATCTCTCTCTCACTCTCCCTTTCTTTCCCTCCCCTCTCTCTCTCCCTTTCTCCCTTTCACTCTTTCTCTCTCTCATTCTCTCTCTCTCTCTCATTAAATCTTTCTCTCCCTCTATCTCTCTCTGATTAAATCTCTCTCTCCGTCTTTCTCTGATTAAATCTCTCTCTCTCTCTCGCTGTGATTAAATCTCTCTCTCACTCTCCCTTTCTTTCCCTCCCCCTCTCTCTCTCTCTCACCGTCTCTCTCGGATTAAACCTCTCTCTCTCTGACTAAATCTCTCTCTCTCATTCTCCCGTTCTCTTTCTCTATGATTAAATCTCTCCCCCTCTGTCTCTCTCACCGTCTCTCTCGGATTAAATCCCTCTCTGACTAAAACTGTCTCTCACTCTCCCGTTCTCTCTCTCTCCTTCCCTCCCACTCTCTCTAGCGCTCTCTCTCTCTCTCTCTCTCTCTCATTAAATCACTCTCTCTCACTCGAACGGTATCGAACGTTGGTCAATCGCATAGGATCATTTAGTAATTTATATTAAATAATATTGGTGTGGATTTTTTAATTGAATTGTGAATGGGCTCCTGTTCGACTACTGAACCGTGAGAAAAACCTCGTACCTTCCGATTAAACGAGACCCGACTCCCGAACTCAATGCAATATCAGCTTTCACTCCTGGCTAATTAATAGCAAGTTATTCGATGCAGTTAACACACTTAACGACGTGGGTGCAGGGGAATTTTTTACCCGTCCGTCCTATTTCACAGAATCAGCCTCTTGCACTCGCTGAATTATTAACAGGAGGAAAAACAGACCGCTTCTTTAATAAACTTGATATGGATCGAGGCTGTCGTCATAAGTGTGTGCAAGTCTGGCCTGATTCCTTCAACGGCAGGAATCAAAGGACAAATGTTTTAATCAGTGTTTGCTTCGATGGCCCGAGAGTAAAACGACTCTCTTGTTTGGAATGAACAAGAAAATTCATGATGAAACAGCAATAAGCAGATCCATATTAATGGACAAATTAAAAACTCAAAAATTCTTTAAGCCTCAAAGTTTGTTTCAAATTTTCTTCAAAATTAAAATATCAATATGTATAGAATAAATCAAATTTTAGAAGGTTGATAAAAAGAATTTTCAATCCTTAGTAAGGAGTCGTTTTTAATTCAGTCGTGTTCAACGAAGCACAATGCTGGGAATTTAAACGAAATCTAATAAGATGTAACTAAATGTAAAACAATTGCTTTCTGAAAATAAACTCTGACAGGTGGAAGGACATAATTTTCCACTTTATTATAAAATTATTCACTCTGCCATTCTAACCATACTTCTCGGACACGCCATTCGACTATTCTTCGCTGTCTGGATTTTTTTTTTTTAACTTGTAATTTTAAATTGTAACTTGAAGGAATCAGCGTTGCCGTTCCATGCTTATACCCTGACATTGGTTTTTCAACAAGGAGATTAGCATAGATTTGTATTTGGTGTAACTATGGAGTAGTTTTGTCGTTATTTCTTGATCGTACTTTTGTCTTAAGTTTGATTTTCTTAGATTGAAGAAACTGCTTACTTATGCCCCTGGCTTTGGTTCATACCATTGCGCAGTTATGGTTCAGAGAAACGTTTAACTTTTCATTGAATTGAAATTTGTTCAATATAACAGTGCGTTTTACACTGTCAACATTTATCTGAAATGTCTGGCTACACCCTCCTGATAACCCTGTTCATTTTACACGTGGAGATTAGCCAAGATTTGTACTGGTCGGCAACTTGTCTCGCCCTGTTTAAAACCCTGACAGCGATTCGATTACAACATATCAGATTTAAATTACCGTTAAATTTAAAAATTTTCCAGGTAGCTGTGTTACTGACTCAACAGTTTGTTTGAAATATCTTGCCACGCCCTTCTTACAACCCTGTTGATTTTAAACGTGGAGATTAGCCAAAATTTGTATTTGATCGGCAACTTGCCTCGCCCTGCTTAAAACCCTGACACCTGTTCGATTACAGCATTGCATAGATTTAAATTGCCGTTAAATTTAAACTTTTTCCAGGTAGCTGTGTTACGGACTCTGTCAACAGTTTGTTTGAAATGTCTTGTGTCCTACTTAAAACCCTGAAATTTTTTTAAGGATGCTTTTTCAACAGGGAGATTAGTAGACATTTTTATTTCGCGTAATTATAGAGTAGTCTTGTTGTCCTTAGTTTAGATGCCGGGAAACTGTTTTTCTTAAATGGAATAATTAGCGACTTGCCACTCCCTGCTTATAACCCTGACAGCGGTTCGACCACAACACTGTCAATATATTCGTTCCGAATAGGTTTAACATCACTAACTGATTATCCAGCCAAGTTATGATGTTTTGTGATAAAACTTTAACCAACGCTCTGATCCTTACCCTACTGGTAATCTCTCTATACCAAAAGGCCTCGTTAATTGTGGGTAAAATAACACAAATAAGGAAAAACATGATAGTCTGGTTAGCATTCTGACTACCCCGATATTCCTCGGGGTGGTTGGGGATAAACCCTGCCACCCACGCCTACATCTCGGCCCATTAGCCTTTCTCCCGGGGGCGATCTCATGGGAAATCCTCCAAAGCCGTTTTGTTTTATCCGACCTGGTGAATTAATTAGTACAATTTTATCCTCGGCTTCATTCCACCCGAGTGGATTAAACAGATGTTTGAATAGGAAAAGTGAAAATTTTGATAATCCTCTGTGACCTGCAGCACTTAATTATTAAACAACTTAAAAAAATATAAAAAATAAGACGACTAAAATATCAAAAATTACATTTTGGACATTAAGCATACATTTAGGCTCAGGTGAATTTCACTGAGGTAGAATAAGTCAGATTGAGTCCAAATGATAAAAGTGATTATGTTCTACAATCTTTTAAAGGTAGTTCTTACTCCCAGATTGTTGTTTTCAACTATCCGGATTTCAAGCTTACAGCTCATCATCATCATTGAAAGCAAAAATCTGTTAGAAAGTACTGTCTTTTTAAAAGATCGAGTCAGTCTGAGTGTTTTACTTTTCAATCTCCCTGCTTATATCCCTGCTGGCTTTACTTTATTTGATTTAAATATATATTTAAAGTCAATTTTTGTTTATTTGTTTTTGGATGTCTTATTCTGTCAGTTTCAAACAAACAGGTTTTAACATTAAATTAACCATTGTTAATTTAAAATTAACCAATTTCAACTTCAAATTACTATTTTTAATTTCAAATTGAGTTTTTAACTTCATGTTAACTAACCCTTTTTGATTTTAAATTGAGTTTTAAGTGCAAATCAAGCCTTTTTACATTTTAATATGACAGTTTTTAACTTCAAATTAACCCTTTTAAATTTCAAATCAGCCTTTTCTTAACATCAAATTCACCCTTTTTAATTTTAAATTGACCAGTTTCAACTTCAAACTAACTGCTTTTAGTTTCAAATTAACCGGTTTCAACATCAAATTAATCTTTTTTTTATTTCAAACTGCAAATATCCCTTTTTTAATTTGACTGTTTTTAACTTCAAATTAACCCTTTTTAATTTCAAATTGACCGTTTTTAACTTCAAATTAACCCTTCTAAACTTCAAATCAATTGTTTTTTAACATCAAATTAACCCTTTTTAATTTCAAATTGATCGTTTTTAACTTCAAATTAACCCTTCTAAACTTCAAATCAACTGTTTTTTAACATCAAATTAACCCTTTTTAATTTCAAATTAACCGGTTTCAACTTCAAATTAACCCTTTTTGATTTCAAATTGAACTTTAGCTGAAAATTATCTTTTTTTAAAATTTTAATTTGACAGTTTTTAACTTCAAATTAACCCTTTTAAATTTCAAAGCAACCGTTTTTACATCAAATTAACCATTTTTAATTTCAAATTGACCAGTTTCAACTTCTAATTAACCTTTTTTTATTTCAAATTGAGTTTTAACTGCAAATTATCCCTTTTTTAATTTAACTGTTTTTAACTTCAAATTAACCCTTTGTAATATCAAATTGACCGTTTTTATGTTCAAATTAGGCAAAAGCCAAATTGAAAATTAAAAAGACAATGGGGCTGGGCCTATTAGAGGCCACATGAAAATTACGATTAAAAATAAAAATAAAATATAAAATCAAACATACAACAAATTATTCTTATTTTAATGTGAGATTTAAAAAAAAAAACAAATACATCCAGACTTAAAAACCAGAATTGCTCACATTTTTCAAATGATTAAGTAATTCATTTATTATTAATTCTATTATTCATAAATACACGAATCATTTATATTTATATCATTTTTAATTTTCGTTGTGGTTAATTTTCATTTATATCCAAATTAGCCTATATGCAAAAATTTCAGTGTTTTTCTCCGTTTTTTGTGCTTTAATTAAAGGGTTATTTTGAAATTAAAAGAGGCTAATTTGAAGTTAACAACAAATTAACACAGAAATTTAAATAATTCGTATCTCGCCTCTCCTCGCTTATAAGCTGTCATCACCCTTTTACGACTATATTTTTCCTGTTGATGGTTCGATTTTATCTATTTAGATATAAAAGTATTACTATTTGTATAATTTTATTTTTTATCCATTATAAAATTGCTAAAAAAACTACATGTTTTAGTGTTTCTTTGAAATAATATATTATAGATTTTGGTTCCAATATTTGAACGATTAGAGAGTGAAAATCGTTAATTAAATTTTCGAATTTTATCGGAGATGGGGAAAGGAATGTTTTGGTCATATAAAACTACAATTTAATTGAAAATAAGTCATGTATCGACATTGTTTTATTAAAGTAAAGTAAGTGAAACAACTATTGGGCATTATTTTAAGTTATTTACACAACTTACAATTTGTTTTTAATCGTAAATATACAATATCATACAAAAGAGAAAAGAAAAATCGTTATAGTGAGTGAGAAAATTTCAATTCGTTTCACGCTCATGTGCATATCACGTTTCAGGCAATGTACAAGTCTATATATATATGTATAAAGAGTATGAAGTGTTATACACATGACCGAGAAGTCTTACATACAATTAAACGTTTTTTTAAATATAAATAACGGAAGTTTCGAGTCAAAAATACATTGGTCGAGGTTATTTTGTTTAAATTAAAGACGAACTGGTTTTTCTTCAATGTCTTTGGTCGTAAAAAGGAAGAGCCCCAGGACCCAGTTGGAAAATAACTAAGTCGTGGGTGCTTCCCCCTTTTTAATTATTCTCTCGCTTTAAATACATTATTTTTTCTAATTATATTTTTACCAAAGAAATGAGATCCCCCACCCACTACAGATAGGTATGACTTAGCAATAACAATTACAGGAACTGTATCCCTCCATAGGAGGACTCCCTTCACATAATATTTATAATAATATAATACAAATTATTCCATTCAATAATACATATTATCGTTAATAAAAAAGAAAAGAAAAAGCGTCCCCACAGTGTCAGCGGAAGCCGGCTCAGTTCCGGGAAACGCGTTTTGTCCGTGTTTATCAACTTTCGTTCTCATAAATTTTTTTTTAAATTTTGTATGACTTAGTTCTTTTTTCGACAGACAATTTGAATCACAATTATAATAAGTTATTTACAAAGTACAAAAAAAAGTCGACATGCACACGTAATATCACACACATGTATGTATATTATCATAATTTTGCGAAGTTCATTGTTTATTAAATAGTTAATTCAGTCGAATGGCTAAGGCCTATGGTGGTCCCCTATCACGTAGACGGGAGGAGGTTTGAGCATGTCTATCGTGCTACTCCTCCTCGTCGACTCCAGCCGTTTTCCTCCAGACATGTCACTGCAACTGAACAAAACAAAAAAACACACTTAGTCGGATGTCGAGCAAAACGGACAAAAATAAAAGCAAGACTCCGAGGTGAAATATCCCGAGAAGAAAACTAGAGGGGCGAAAGATCTAATTGGCCCGGGAAGGAATAATCTTAAAAAATAACCTAACTGAATTAGGATTTCCTGCAGTGAAAAAAAAGCCACAGCGTTAATTTTGAAGATTTATAAGCATAATATAAATATTCGCGAGTAAAGATTTGCAATAGTAGAAAGTGCACGTAAAATAGTGGAAATGTTGATAGTGCAAGAGTTGAGAGAAAAAAAATGTTCATCAGAGTAATTATGATTATGAAATGTATCGAATTGTGCGTTAGAAGGCGAGGGGGGACGTTTTTAAACCCAGTTTGTATCATGGTGGCTTTTGTTCAATTCAATGAATGCGCCGGTATGAAAGAACGTCCTTGTGGACTGTAGACGGGGTGGTGGGAATGAGTCTGAACAACTCCCACCTATTGACCGACGGAGAAAAACAATTCAGAGGGATCGTGAGAGATATTTACCTGGAATTACAGAGGACGCCCGGCGGCGGATGATTAGAGTCCAAGGACATGAGAGATATCCTCTTCGTAGGGGGTAGCTCGTCCTTGTGTCTCACCAACTCGGTGTTGAGCTGTTTCTGAGATCTGGTCCGCTGGAGGGTGTAGACGGGGTCCCAGCACGTTTCCGGCCCGTCGTCCGTCTTCTTACCCAGAGCAAGAGGAGAGGACCAGGTATTTTTTATCATGTGGGGGTCGGCTCGTTTGGAGACCACCGCACTGGAGACGGCGTTCTGCTCGTTCTGCCGCCTAGCCTCTTCGTCGGCCTTCCGCCTCTCCAGGGCCCGCCTCTGTTTCATGCAGACGACGACGACAGCTGCGATCAGCACGGCCAACGGGACCGCCACCGACAGGGTGGCTATCACCAGAATGTGCTCCGCGCTCAGACCAGACTCTTCTCTCGCCAGCACTTGCCTCGAGATGTTGCCGGCACGTCCCGGCTCTTCCGCACACGTCGCACCTTCGAAACCGTCGACACAAGTACACAAGAAACCGTTCACTCTATCCGTACACTTTCCGCCGTTTTTGCAAGGGGCGGGGGCGCACTCGTCAACGTCGACCGAACAGTCTTTACCGGTGAAACCGGCCCTGCACGAACACTTGTAATCGTTCACCAAATTGTAGCAGGTTCCCCCGTTGGCGCAGGGTTTGGCGAGACAGTAGTCCACCTCGTCCTCACAGTGCTTGCCGACGAATCCGGGTACGCACTGGCACTTGTAGGAGTCGACGCCGTCTATGCATGTGGCTCCGTTGCGGCAAGGCGAGCCAATGCAGTCGTCTACGTTGGTCTGGCAGTGAGATCCGGAGAAGCCCGTCGGGCAGATGCAGTTTCCTTCTGGAGTGCATGTCGCACCGTTCTGGCACTGACACAAGTCCACTTCCACCGAACAGTCTTGACCGGAAAATCCAGGGCTACAGGAGCACGAGTAGCCGGTCGCTGTATCTTCGCAAGTCCCACCGTTCTGACATGGCAGATGACCACACGTCACCGCTGAATTCTCGCAATGCGTGCCTTTCCAACCAGAGGGGCACTCGCATTTATATCCTCCCGCCCCTTCATCCTTCAAGACAACAACAAAAAATTAAAATTACAAACACAAAAAATACAGGCAAAAATGGACTAAATCAATTATACTTACGATGCATTTTGCCCCATTTAGACAAGGTTTGTGAGAACAACCGTCGATTTTGTGTTCGCAGTCGGTCCCCGTGTATCCAGGGGGACAACTGCAGGTGTAAGATCCCTGGCCGGTATTGAAGCAAGTGCCTCCGTGTCGGCAGGGAAGGTGGTTAGTGCAGTAGTTGAGATCCTGGTTGCAGAAAAGACCGCCCCAGCCCTCGTTGCACAGGCAATCCCACGGTTTTTGGCAAGTGCCGTGCAAGCAGCCGGGGTAGCGCTCGCACTTGTCGCACAGCCTTCCTTTCCAGCCGCTATGACATCTGAAACATAATTGACCGTCAATGGGACTATTGTCGGCGATCACGCCACCTCGCCGGGGAATTGGGTCGCGCCGTATTAACACGGCTCGTGGGTCTATTATTACAAAATTCAATTAAACATCACTTTCTTAAGGAAAGTCGGCAATTAACACTCTTTCTAGCTACTCTTCATTAATTAATCACGTGAAACACAAGAAATTATTAACAAAAACGACTAATTCAACTCTCGGTTTGTGAAATATTCTAAAAGTGAATTAAGATTTTTTTTGAGTTTTGTCTTTACAAATTACCTCCTTGTTGGTTGATGTAAAAGACAGGCCTTTAATTATTCCTTTTCACAAGGGTGCCACGAGTGGGACATTGTCGTCGATCTAATGGCACTCATTGTCGTCCGACGACAATGGTGGACTGTCGGTGGGACGGACTGAGGCAAAAACAGCCACCTAGTTAAAAGGGAGGCAAAAGAGTTTCCCAACATTTCATTAGAGCAATCATTAGAAGTCGTCACGAGTGCGAGGGTACGCCGGTTCCCACTTTTTTTCCACACAGCGTTCCGGCCGGTCCATTTACATTGTTAGATTTTTTTACCCCGTTCCTTTCCGTGACCTATTTGATTATGAAGCCCGAGGGGGTGAATAAAATTTGATGGGGACTTTAAAATGTAAATTAATATTGGAAAGAAGCAAAAAATCAATGTTCATTTCATAGTTCACAGATAATGTACAGTACAGATCTTCTGTTATCTATTGATATCGGTTTTATTAAAAACAAATATTAAAAAGAAAGAACCCAAACCAAAATAGTTACTAGTCGAGTGAAAATATGTGCCAAATAGTGTTCAGAAGTTCGGATTTGAGGATCAACGTTTTTCTTTCTGAGTATGTTTTTATATTGTTTATATGGTTTCTGTTTATTTTAGCTTATCTGTATTTATCGTCTTTTTGGCCAGTCCGAAGCGTTTCTTCTTCTCGTCATCGTCAGCGTTGTTCATGATAAAAATGTTGTCAAGGGTTAAGTAGGGAGAGGCAAAAAGCCAAATGTAGAATCAAACTGAGATTTTCAGGACATTCTGTCAACAAATTGGTCTTGAATGGCAAAAAAAAAATCGTTGGTTCAAGAGACTCTTATGTTCTTGAACGAAACTTTATCTGTGTATTTTTTTATAACTATAAATATATATGAGCAAAGCCAGATGCCCATAGTATCTAATAACATGAATTTATGTTGTTAAGGTAGTTTCTGTTTATTTTTACTTTTTTTTGTCCTGTCAGATGTTGTATTTGCTTCTCATAGTCTTCAACGGTGTCTGCAATCATATTGTACTAAATTATTAAGTCTTGTCGTGTTTTTGGCGTTGAACTTTCAAAACTATCACGCCCATGCCAAATAAAGTCTTTTTCTTGTTTTTGTTTATTTTGTGTGGAAGGTGTACAGGAGTTTAAATACCTTGGGAAATGGACATGGAATACAACTATATATGTATAAACAAAGCCAGAAGCCTGTCTAATAACGTGATTTTACGAGGTTTAAGTATTTTTTTGTTCATTATTTTCGATCACCTTCAGAGGTGTTTATGGTTATAGCGGTGCGTTTTCAGGTCGGGGTTATAAGTGGGGAGAGCCGAAAGCCGGGTTCATGAACCAAAGGGGGTTTTTCAGGACATTCTGTGCTAAATCGTTAAGTCTTGTGGTGTGTTTTTAGTTTTCATCCGGTCCGTTTAATTTCGCCTTTTAATTGAAGAGTTCGTCCCGGTGAAAGTCGAATGTCTCGGCTTGGTTAAAGTTCAACAACGAAACACAACTTCCCTACATAAATGTATATATGTGAAGGTTTATTTTAAATAAATTATAAAGGAAATTTTTTAAAAGCAAGTGTAATTTTGATGAAACGTCTCAGAAAGTTTGCGGGGTTGTTAATTTAAAAAGATTTGTCTTTTACATCTGTCTACAAAGGTTTCTGAAGTCGGGCCAACTAATGAAAACGATCCATCGGCTCGGAAACGGGCAAATTCCTAAATTAATTTTCTCCCCCCCCCCGCCCCCCGACACAAGATCGATCCGAAAATAAATAAGCCACGATTACGGCGATAATAGTAGGAGTGGTTGTGTAATGGAGTGGATCCGAGTTGTGTCGTGAGAAAAGGTTCACCTCGGCACCACAAGGCCAGACGATCCACCGGCCGGGCACCGGAACACATTTTTCCCAACCGGCTTCCGGCAAAATCGATCCCCTTTTTGACAAATTTGAACCAGGCCGAATGACACATGACGAGGGTCACCGTGCGACTGAACCGAAACCTAGCCGGTACCGGTTCTCCGTTTCCGTTTATCCCTGCTTTTAAAATCCCGACTTAATGACAAAACTCGAATCTATTTCAAATTAAAACCAATTTAAAAATAATAAACAATTAAAAAGCTGAATTGAAAAAATGTCACTATGTCAAGAGAGAATAAATTAAATCCCGGACTATTTGATGTTTTGTTTGAATGTTTCGGCACTTGGCCATCTTCAGGTCAAGTCAGATCAAAATATACACCGGGATGAAAAAAAAACGGCCGAGTCTAATATGATCACTGTGCGAAAATCATTATGAATTTATGTTTTGTTCTTTTCGGGCGAATTCTGCTGAAAAGATCCCATGGATCTTAAGAACGAGGTTTCCGCCGTGAACGTCTCAAATCCTGGAGGTAGGCCGTTACTGTAATTAAAACACTCCATCGTTCCCAATTAGCAGGAGGGAAAATGAGTTTGAGAACCGCTATCTAATAAATTCCCACTATTTTCTCGGCTTAAAAAAAACTAAAAAGAATATTAATAAGAACTTACATGCATTCGTTTGGATTCGTGCAGCGTCCGTGCTGGGCGTCACAACCAGGCAAGCATTTCGCTGCAAAAAACAAAAACAAAAAAGGGTTAATATATTGTCGTTTTGTAAAGTAAACATAAAGGGTCTGCAGATCCCTGGGTAATCTTTTTACAATGAAAAGTCCGCAGTGAGAAGTAAAGCCGTGCTCTATTGTATATAATAAGAGGGTACAAAATACGAATGGGAGGAGAGGGAGTCGGAGAAGAAAAAGAGGTCGGGGCAGCTGCCGGACCCGGTCCATCCGTAGGTAGCCTTTCCCACGGCTATACCACTTTCCTCCCAGCCTTCCTCCAATTATCACCGATTCCCTTCTTCACTCTGATTATGCAAGCCGTTGCCGATTTTTCTCGGGTACAATTTTTTTCCCCTCGGTTCACCGACCCGGGATCTGCATGTGTGCGGAATGACTTACGCGTCGTGCAGTATTCGCCGTCCCACCCTTCGGTGCAGATCCTGCTGCCGTTTTCGCTGCAGGTGTAATGGCCGAAATTGTCGTCCCGAGGCCTGCACAGCACTGCGCAACCGGTTCCGTAATAGTGAGGCTCGCAGGTGACTCGGTACTCGAACCTGAGCGCACCCTCAGTGCCGCCCGGGGTCCAGTCCGATCCGACGTCCAGCCATCTCTGCGTCGTCAGCCTTGTTATCAATCTTTTGTTTCCTAAAATAAAATAAAAATAAAAAATAAAAACGAGAACAATAAAATAAACAAAAGAGTGTAAAATGCCCTCTTAATATCTTGTACATATTACTATGTTAAACATGTAGCTTGATCGTTTGCGATCACAATCTGCTTTCTTTAATCAACCATCATCAGAGCTTGATAACGAACGGGCCCAAAAACGAGGGGTACATAAAAATGATCGAAAACGACCAAGCTACATAAAAAGAAGAGATCTCACACCCGATACATCAACACCCTATTTTCACATTAGCACAAAAAAACTATTGATGATATCATCATCGAGGGGGCCTGGAATCACTTTTATTTATTTCCTAATGCCACTTTTTGACGGTAATAGACCTACCACATGAACTGTTCATATCAATTGGCCCTAGGCAAAAGGGTGTTTTGTTGCTCTTTTCAACCTATAACGATCATGGAAGCATTTTTTTTTAATTTATGTGAAAGGTGGTGGAATTATAAATTAAAATACTCCTGGAAATGTGTTTTAGCACTGAACCTCGTGTATAACTATAGAAATGTATAACAAAATCATTATCTAATAACCTGATTTTATGCGGTTTAGGACTTGTTGTTTATTTCTGCTGCTCACTATCTTCAGAGGTTTTTATGGTTAAAATAGACGATTTTCGGGTGAGGGTACAAACTAACTTTCAAAAATAAAACATGGATTTTAAAGAGATCCTCTTAAGTTAAGTAATTGTCTTGAGGTATGTCTTTAGTTTTCATCTGGTCCGCGTAATCTCGCCGTTTCGTTGAACGGTGTTGCTTTTGGACTTTCAAACTATAACGATTTGTGTGGTGATTAGTGACCGTTAATCGATAATTATTCAGAAATCGTGAGATGCGGTCTCTCGGTGACCGCATCTCACGATTTCTGAATACTATAACGATTATGGAACATATCTTTCTTGATTTTGTTTATTTTGAGTGGATTTGCAAATGAAAATACCGTTAGAAGTGGGCTTTAGCGATGAACCTAGTATATAACTATAGAAATGTAATAAAAAGTCAGAAGCCAGTGGTGTCTAATAACCTGATTTTATGCGGTTCAGGACTTTTTGTTTATTTCTGATGCTCAATGCTCACCATCTTCAGAGGAGGCTAAAGTAGAGGGTATTCAGGTCAGGGTACAAGTAGGGAGAGGCACACAGCCAGTTTCAATAACAAAACATTGATTTTAAAGAAATCATCTTAAGTTAAGTAATTGTTTTTAGGTTTGTCTTTAGTTTTCATCCGGTCCGCGTAATCTCGCCGTTTCATTGATTGGTGTGTGCCTTTGGATTTTCTATAACGATTATGGAAGATACTTTTTTCTTGATTTTGTTTATTTTGAGTGGACTTGCAGGTGAGAAATATGGGAAATGAGTTTTAGCGATGGACCTCGAAGTGTTTTACGCCGAATCGCGAAGTACCCCCGGGGCCCACGGGGTCCTGAGACTCTTCCCAGTAAATATTTGGTTTCCCCTCGTTTTTGCCCGTTAATTGTATTTGATTAAGGGGTGTATTGAGAGGAGTAGGTAAATTAAGGTGCGCGGGTTAGGTTGGTAATAGTGAAGTGGAACTGCGGGGAGGGGAAGCACGGAGGTATGCACGGGCAACTTATCAGCTCTTTTCCCACGAATCTCTGCTCCCCCTCTCTTCCTTTCGGACGTCTCCCTCTCGCTCTCGCTCCTCCGCCGGATTCCAATCGAGAGGCCAAAATAAAAGGTCTCCTTAAATCGGTTTTCTCGAAAACAGGACCTTAGACAATCCCGGTACGAAATCCCCGAGGACGTTCGTCGGAGGGCAGACAGGTCCTTTGGGAAAGTTCGAGAAATAGGTGGCTGGAATGCGAGCCTCCAGTACGTGGGAAAAAGTATCGTTATTAATAGCTACTATAAGACCGTCACGACGATGCATAACAGTCCTTGAACCCTCTGACCGGTCCATTTCTCCATGTCTTATCGGTGGCAGGAAGCGAAATCGTCCTTAAAAGGCATTCCACTCTCTTTCAAACGGCTGGGAAAACTGGAGAAAAACACAGCACCCAGGTCCGAGAGACTATTCAAAACGCAACTGGATAGCCAATTCCGATGATTTATTTTAAATAGACATCGCAATTGACCTCTCCAATGCACAACACTACTAAATCTCAGATCCCATGAAAAGAAAAAGAAAAAGAATTGACGTTCTGAATACATAATTTATGTTTATGCGTGCTTATCAATAGCCAAGGATGAAAAGTACCAATTATTAACTGAATTAGACAGCAATTAAATTAACTCACCTAGAATAATTTAACGTATTATTACTCAAAATCTAAGGAGACAAATATACTTATTTTCCATATGGAAATTTCTATTATCTATTTAAAATCACAAAAATGAAACTATGCCTTTTTCTTATTTTCTTTCATTCCTACTACAACCATCCACCTATAGACCTTTATATTAAACAAAAGATAATTAGTGATTTTATGGTTTTGATTTAACGTAAAACTATTTGTGAAAATAATAACACGTTAGACGTGAATGAGTGTGTATGGGAACAAAATTATATTTTCTAAACGGTAAAACTGGAGCAAGCAACTAAATTAAGACCTATCCTACTTTGGCACCGCCTAGCATTACAATAATTGACCTATCATTTGTCAAAAGTAGGGTAGGGTCTACAACTACTAAGTCGATATTTCTGAGAACTCACGTGTATTTTTTTGTAAAGGGTTAACGCTTGAAATATTATTTATTAACGGAATCAAACACTTTTCTGACTTTTACAAGTGTTTACATAAACAATAATAATTCAGTTTTCTTTTTTTGTCTTAACTTTATATGCCAAATAAAGAACATGTAAGTAAAAACTGACCTTTTTGTATTTGACAAAAAAATAAATCAGTTAAGGTCTGTTTCTAATAACAATGCAACAGTAAAACAGAATATGATTTTTATTTACTTTCTCCGTTGAACAAAGTCAAAGCTTTTTTCTAGTTTTAAATTTATAAAGACAGAAAAACAGGGACACTTGGTTTTTTCTCCGGATAACTATGCAATAAAACAAAATATTTTTATTTACTTTCTCTGTTGGAAAACAGAGCTAAATCTTTTTTATAATCTTAACTTTATATGCCTCTAAACAAAGACAAAATAAAGATAAAGGTCAGGAACTACTTAGGTTTTTCTGATAAGTATGCAATAAGACAAAATATTTTTGATTTACATTTATTCTTTTTTTTAAGTCTTATTTCTGTCTTGAAAAACAAAGTTAAATATATGCAACTAAAATAATACATACGCTATACAGGAAGAAAAACGAACAAAAGCCAGCTAAGTTTCCTTCTGATTGTTAAAAAGGCAATTTTTAGGAAATCTTCAGTTTCTCTTCGAAAATTTCTTTTATGCATTTTTCCTTTCTAGTCTTAACTTTATATGCCCAAAAAAATAAAAAATTAGCAGGAAAGAAAAAGGACAGGAACCAGTTCTTTTTCTGATAACTATGCAATAAGACGAAACTATAAAAAGTAAACTTTAGATTAAACAGGAACGAAACATAACAGATACCATTCGAGTTTCCTTCAGATAGCTATATAATAAAACCAAATTTTCTTTATTTACTTACTTTCTTTTTTAATTTAATTTCCGTGATAGAAAGCCAAGCGAAATATATTTAAAAATGTTATTTTTCTAATCTTAACTTAAACATATATAAATAAGCGTACACAAAAAAGAAAATGAACAGAGCCAGTTCAATTTCCGCCTGATGACTATGCAATAAGAATTTTAATTTATTGAGCACGATTGTAAGCCTATCGGATAGTTCCAATCAAGAAATGAAGTTTTGAAAGTTTGAAAAGTACTTTTTTTCTCTAGCCTTAAAAAAATACAAAATACACAAGTAAAAAGAACAGATTGTCAAATTGTTCATAATGATTTTTTCCTTAAAACCTATTACATTTCTGAATAGTTCACTGGACTGATAATAAAATAAATATATATATTAGAAACCCTAATGAAAAGTTGAACAATAATTCTTCATGTAATCTGACAAATGTTTAAGTCTAGAAATAAATTAATCACGAGCGGGGTTCGAACACACGACCTTCGGCTAAAAACGCCGCTGCTCTACCACGACGAAGGTCGTGGGTTCGAATCCCGCTCGTGACACTGACTGTTTTATCTCAACCAATACTTTACATCAAGATTAATTAATTGAAAGATGTTATTTGGTCAATCGGATCACGAAATCTAATGAATTTAAAAATAAAGTTAAAGCGATTGAAAAACTCATTAGAGTAAACCTTTATTAGCTTAAATCTAATCTTATAATAACTTAGGGTAAAGAAAATTATTGTAGCTAATAGTAACGATGGTATATCTACTTTATATATTTTCTCAAATGGTAATTGTATTGAAAATAATAATAATAAATACCTATTCTGAAGATTCTTGAATGTTATTGATGTAAGTTTGGCAGTTTTTAACTTTTGAAAATATTTGAGTCGGTTTTGTTGTGGAGAGTTCGCATTGTCTTTGACCTCCGAGAGGAACCCTTCACCTCGGTGCTTTTTGTAAACTTTTGAATTTGTTTCTGTTAAACGAGACCCTTGGTAATTGGTAAGCGTGGATCCGAGAGAAGGCCGATCGTATTAATTCAGCGTTTAAGAGCCAGCGGTGAAGGCGGGGGTGAAGACTGTAAGGACTAAGAAGGTAATTGGTAGAGCACGGAGAGGTCCCGGGCCGTCTGAATACAAATGTCGACGAGATGCCTATCTACAGGGTTTCTCGGCTGTATTCCCGGCTCGATCTGTTTTGTATTCGCCTCAGCGAGAGTTATCTCTCTGGGAAAAGTTTCGGTGGGTCATACCAGACGTGGGAACACCCCCGGCCTTGTCACAATAATCGAAGCATCGTCCGAAAACAAACCCGATTTACCCTAATTAACGAATTCCAGAAAGGAAAAAGGAAAATGAAAGATTCTACTTGGAGAAAATTAAAGAACAACCTCCTATCATACCGAAGATATATATATATATATATATATATCTATATGTAAATTTATATAAAACAAGCAACTATCATGTACGAAGACTATCAAGAACATTAATCAAAACAACAACAAATATGACCTCATTCCACAATGTAGAATGAAATCGCACCATGTTCAGTGTGTTATTTATGAGTATTTAAAGTAAGGCATATACAGCGAGAACAAGCGGAGCACGATGCTCCGGGACGAGCAAAACGCTTCAAGCCCCTTTCCTATACTGAAATATTTAGGTCAGATGACTGGGAAAATAGAAAATAGTAAAAAACTATTGCCTCTTTCACAAAAAAAAGAATGACCAGATTTATTTCATTAAGTAAAATATAATAGGAGAAAGCTTGAGGTATTTTTGAAGAATTATTTTGAGATCGTGAGATGCGGTCTGGTGTGACGTAGCTTTTTGAAAAACATTTTCTTTATCGTGCCAACGTTTCGATCTTTATTGAGATCATCTTCAGGATACTTACACAGAAAACAAGCACTCTTTGCCCTGAAGATGATCTCAATAAAGATCGAAACGTTGGCACGATAAGAAAAATATTTTTCTAAAACCGACGTCACACCAGATCGCATCAGGTATTAGCAAACATTTTCTTTATCGTGCCACATCCGATCTTTATTACAGGGCACTTACACAGAAAGCACACATTGAGCCCTGAAGATGATCTCAATAAAGATCGAAACGTTGGCACGATAAAGAAAATGTTTTCGTAAAACCTACGCCACACCAGATCGCATCTCACGATCTCCAAATAATCATTAACTAACGGTAAAGACCACACATTTTTGAGGAAGTTGGTTAAACTTCAACGTCAAGTCATAATTCTGCGGAAAATAAATATCTTCAGGCGGAGCTCGCGTCTTTCACGTAATTTCACAAAAATTTCCCATCTAGGCCAGTAAACATAGGTATCAACAGGCTCGACACCCTGGGCCATAAAAAGAAGTTTCCAAGGACCATAAAAGCAGGACAAGCAGGCCAAATGAGGGGATGAACACCTGTTGTACGTTTCGGCCGCCCGTTGGGAATCTGTTTCGCAACCTTTCTCATAGGAACAAAACAGATCTGAAGATAGGAACTGGAACAATGGATTTTTCCTAATCATACCGTGTGTTGTATTGGACTGGAAGGAAGAGAAAAAAAACTCGATAATACACTCTTGCGGCGACTTTTATCTGTCGAATTGCTTGCAAAAGTGAGAATCGACAAGTCCTTGTGTTACAAGAAGGCAATCAAGTCCTACCTAGGTGAAACTAAGAACTACTAGTTTTTCTTGATATGTGCAACATTTCCACACTTTATTCCTTGATTGGAAATATCAGATGAACTTACAAATCATATTGAACAAAGTAAAAGTCTTACTACATAGTTATCAGGAGAAAACTTTATTGGTTTCTGTTTTTTTTTAAGCTAATTTGTCTATTTTGAATTTATGCACAGAACAAAATCTTCCAGAACATATTTAAATTTGTTTAACAAAAGTAAACAAATAAAAACAGATTTTATCTTATTGCTAAATTAACTGAAAAAATCCAACATGTTCTTTCTACTCATTTTCGTTTCTGTCAAGCATATTGGGAATGCTTTAGCAGCATATATCGGGTTGTCCGGAAAATAATGCAGGTTTTTAAGTTTTCATTAAAAAAAATCTATATAAAATATTCTGTTTACGTTTACAGGATTACTCATTTGTATGAATGTCAACACTTATTAATCCTCTTCCAAATGANTTACCAACACGTTGGGAGAAATGTATTGAGAGTATGGGAAATTATTTTGATTAAAGAACATTGCTTTAAAGTAACTAGTTTCTTTTTTTTTTGTTTAATACCAAAATCCTGCATTATTTTCCGGACAACCCAATAATATTATCATTGAAAAAAAAAGACTACTAGAATGGATTTAACTTGGTTTTCAAACATAGAAAGTAAACAAAAAAGAATAAAAGAAATACTATGAATCTTACTGCATTAGGAGGAAACTTAGCTGACAAGAAGTTTTCATTTTGGTGTGCGCTAATTTTTAATTTTTATAGTTTGGAAAAGAAAAAACCTTTCGGAACATATTTAGAACACAGAAATCAAATATAAAATATTTTTTGTTGTTTACTGATCAGAAGAAAACTTAACTGGTTTTTGTTCTTTTTCTTTTCTGTGTAGGCTTATTTGTACTTTTTAGTAGCATATGAAGTTAAAATCGGAAAAAAAAACTTCCAGAACATATTTAAATTTTTTTTTCAAAGACTGAAAGGGAATTAGAAAAGAAAGGAAGTAAATAAAAAAATATTTTGCCTTATTGCATAGTTATCAAAAATAAACTTTAACTTCTGTACTTTTTCTTTCCTGTGTGCACTAATTTGTGTTTTTTAGTGTCATATGAAGTTAAGACTTGATAAGAACGTGTAGAACACATTTAATTTTGTTATACAAACATAGAAAATGAATAAAAAATATTTTGTCTTATTGCATAGTTATCAGAAAACGTAGCTAAGAAACTTAGCTGATTTCTGTTCTTTATTTTTCTTATGTTCTTTTATTTGTAGTTAACTTAACTTTAAAAAATTTTAAAAACTTTTTATTTGCTTGTATCTATTTTATATTTTAATCATTGTTTTCCTGTGTGTATTAATTTGTAAGTTAAGACTAGAAAAAAATAAAATGAAATTTTAGATTATGTTTAACTTAAAGGTTTGAAGCGTTTTTAAACATAAAAATCAAAATATTGTAGATTATTGTCTTTCTTTAATCAGAATTTTATTCCTGTGTACTGGATTATTTTTCTTTTATGAGTTAATTATTTAATTTTAAGAATAGAAAAAACATTATTTGTTTCGTAACCCTTTATAAAAATATGTTTAAAACTTAAAACCCTCATTTCATACATCTCCAGTCGATAATTTGCAATAATAATCGTCTGTTTTATCGTAACCTACTGTATTTTCCATCTTATACTCTCATGTTATTGTTATACGGGATGAATGACAAATAAAAAATATTTGTCTGTTTCACCGTTGTTTGTGAAGGCTTATACAAATGGGATTAGGGCAAGGAAACAAAACCAAAATCTGTTTTCCAGAAATTCTGTTATAATATTGAAATCCGGTCGGGAATAAAATTGCCAAAGTTGTTTTAAATGCGATTCCATTGTGTATTTTTTTTTAATTTTGAAAAGGATTGTGATTTTTTTTGGGTTTACTTTGCATTTAGTTTACTTCTGAGTTTGAAGATTTTTAAGTAGAATAAGATTGCGAGGGATGACAAAAATGGATTTTGATATTTCGTAAGTTTTAGGTTGACATAGGAAAAAGGGTTTTAAAAGGGCTTACCAGACAGGCTCGACGTCGTGTTCGTGTCGTGCCAGGCTTCGACGATGAGAGAGAAAGTCCCCTGAAAAAAAAAAGACACGCAGGTTAATTTTTAATATTGAATGCTTATAAGGCCGTGATGTGGAAAAAGGTGTGGGAAAAAGCCCGACTGCTAATTGATGATGTTTTGTATGAATGAGGTGGACCGGTTGCCGGGAGCACCGTTACTCACCGCCGAGTAAGTTCCCACAGGCGCTCCACTCTCTCCAGAAATCCAGCCGGAAAAACAAGGATATAACGTGTAATTGCCGGAGGCCGGGTTGCCCATATATCTCGCCCATAGATGCCGCCCTTTTTAATTGTTATACTTCGCCTTATGATTATTACGACCCCTTTTCACAAAACTGTCGAAAAGACGTTCAGGTACTTGCGGGATCACCTCGGGGTTCCTTCCTTTTTTTCCTACCCAGGCGGTTGAAATCTGGAGACCGAACACTACATCTGACACGGATTAGAGTAAACAAAAAGGGAAGGGTTTCGAGAAAACGTCAAACAAAAACCAACAAATTGTGAGAATTCCTCTTGGGGTAATGGACCTATGCTATGGCGTAGTTAATGGAACTATGCAATAACAGTCAATCAGGAGCCAGCATTGTTCATTGTAAAATGTCATCTATAATTGTTCTGGATGTTTTCCTTTTAAAGTGGCATATTGTTTGTATTGAGACAAGAAACACCATTGTTTTCAGTGACAGTCAATTAAAAATCGATAGGTTTTCTTGTATGTCAGTTTTAATTGCCCTTTGAAGGTCAGTTAGGTCCTTTTCTATATTGGCGTATTGTTTGCGGTATTTTTCAAAGTTCTCGTTCTTTGTTTATGGCAGTGACTTTGTAGTGATAGTCAATTTGTCTCTTGGCCAGGAAAATCTATTACCAAACAGAAAGAAATCTGCCTAAAGATCAATTTTACAGAATTGCCGATATAGAATGGATACAAAATAATTTTAATAAGTTAAAGTAAATTAATTTCTGGACAATCCGTGGTTAATCGAATTCGGTATTTGATAATCAAACAAACAACGCAGGGCCAAAAACGAATTTTAAACTTATTAGAACAATTATTTCAAAGGAAATTTATGAATTTGAATGTCCAAGAAGTCTGGTTTTCCTAGTCCGCCTAGTCTCAATTTTTACTGGGTACTGGATAACCGAAGTAAATAGCGAAGGATTCCAAAAACAGTCAATAAAATAATTTCACCTATGATAAAGGCAAATAAATGGACAGGACTGCTAAAAAAATCTTTGCCAAAACCAAGTGAAACTAAAACGCTTCTTACCTCAAAGGCTTAGCTGGCAAAGAGAAAAGACATAGATATATAGATAGAAAGATGGACAGAGAAATAAATAAAAGAAAGCTGTTACAAGTATTACAAATAGGAAAATATATATAAGGCGAAAAACAAAGAACTAGTCGGAGAGAGCAAGAGTAAGAAATTCGCTGAACACGAAGATAAATTACATTACAGAGATGGGAAAGGAAAAGAGAGAAGACAAGTTACAAGTAAGAAAAGAAAAATAAGGAGCAAAAAAGAAGGAACGAGACGGAGAGAAGGCAAGTAAGAAAGTTAGTGAAGAAACAGATAAATAAAGGGACAAATAAAAAGATAGAGAGAGGGAGGAGTGAGAAAGAAAGAAACAAAGAAAGAAAAGTAAGAAAACCTGTTGCAAGCAGAGAAAAATTCGATGGATGGAGTAAGATATAAGAATAAGTAAGAAACTTTAGAAAAAATGTATAGATATGGAAGGAGGGGTGGAGAGAGAGAGAGAGAGAGAGAGAGAGAGAGAGAGAGAGAGAGAGAGAGAGAGAGAGAGAGGAGAGAGGANGAGAGTGAGAGAGAGAAGAGAGAGAGAGGAGAGAGAGAGAGTGAGAGAGAGAAGAGAGAGAGAGAGAGAGATAGGAGAAAGGAATGGGACAATTTTGGTATTTCCTTCATCGAGAAATTTTGGTTTGGGCCCAAATGTGAAATGAATACCAACTAGATCACGTTAAATAAAATACAAAACAAACGGTTCATAGTTATTTGAATTTTTTCCCTACTTTGAAGCGAAACAGCCTAAGGGCAGCCTTTAGTGGGCTTTAAGAGTTCTCCCCCTCAAATAAAAAATATAAAAAAAGCAAAAACCATCCACATACCCCTGTACAAAACGTATAATTGCCCCTCGGAAAAATGCCCTCCCTTTTAATTGTTACAATTCAACCTGTTTCCCCAAAAGCGTTCTTATAATTATCGGGGCCCGATTTCCCCCTCGGTGTAAATCCTTGAAGGACGTTTCCAGGTATGATCCGAGTCTCGCCCACCGGTTACGAATCGGTTTTTGTCAAAACTGGAGTCAGTAGCCTTGCCCATTATCCACGGTAGTGGCGTACTGGAGGAAAAGTGAAGTATTTACTGCCCGTATCGACACGGTAGCCCGGAGAAAAACGAACCCAGTAAATCAACCTGGATTGGTTTATGACGATTCCACTTTTCTCCCTTTTATCTGAACCGTTGAAAGCAAATGACAACCGTTACGATTCAATAAAATGTATTTTAAATGTGCACCCGTGACAAAGAAAAAAACTGCAAAAACATAACAAGCTAAGGTGGAAAGGCCTTTCAAATACATTACTGTCCTTACTGAAAAGTTTCAGCAATATATACATCTACCAGAAATATTATTTTTTAATATTTCATTGTACAGACAAAACAAAAACAACAGCAAAAACAATAAAAATTCAAGGATTCACAAATAAATCTCATGGCATGAATGAGAATGTGAAAGTCTTGCCAAGTTGTCAGGATTGAATGGCGTACAGAAATAAATTGATTTTCCTCACTTGAACTGTCACATCGTGTAAAACGATGATTTAATCTTTTAAAAAACATTTAAATTAAAATTGAAAGTGAAACTTTTAATATAAATACAATGCTTGTTTATTAATAAGAATGTTACTTCATACTTTTACGACGTCATCAATTACGAAATAATAGTCCTGAGAGGTATAGAAGAAACGCCTAGCTATTTTTATTACATTTATTTATTTGGATTTTTCTTTATTTATATTGTTAATTAGAGCATTATTTTTAAATCTGCAGACATTAATTTACTAGCACCGTTTTATGAAACCTAGGCAATCCATTCTTGATGACTTTCCGTTCCGCCTTTTTATGAAATTTCACTCAGCATAGGGCTTGTTAAAGGTTTGCCCCTGTGTCTATAAGTGGCGTTAGGCCAGAGGAGCATCGGGCCCCCCAAAAATAATATCATAACAGAACACGGCCTCACTATAAATAGGGCGCACAAGTGGGATTCGTCATCCCCCAGGATAAGGCACACTTAAACGACCATTCGTAACTGCATAATGGGCAAAAATTGGGCCAGATGGCGTCCTCTGACGACCCCCAAACCTCCTCCACGCCCGTACAACACCCAAAACAAAGGGGATTAATTATCTTTCGATTAGTTCGTTTGATAAGTTTTTTACATGTTCTTGTGGGCAAGGGCAACACAAAAAGAAACCCTAGGCTTGTAACCATGTTAAAATATCAATTTATAACACCAGTTAAATTCACGTAAACAAAATTCAAACTGAACCAACCAATTTAAATAAAAATTTAAAAGGCTTAAAATAATATCAAAAATGTTCGATTTTTATAGGTTAACAAAGCTATAAAACAAAGCCCTGATCAAACTTCCGCATAGGAAAACTTTAAAACATCTAGTAAAATTATTAAATTAATTTTACCGTTAAAAATGCTTAAAGAACTTTAGAGAATTTATAATTATAAAGTAAAAGTATTTTGTTTTATTTTATGTACAGTTTATTTTTATTTCACTAAATTATTGTTATTAATATTCAAAATATATATATCCCATCTGATTTATCCTACTAGTTTTTTTTAGACAGGGTTTTGGAACTAAGAACTCAAGCTACAAGATTTTTTTTAAATCAAAATTTTCAACTAAAAAGTTTGACAAAGCTTTATACAGACTTAACTATTAATAAATCTTTTCGGCTGGTTTAATTATATTTTCATTGATTTAATAATTTGGAAAACCCTAAAAAAAATTACAGGTTGATAAACCGAGGTTTTCCCACTATGCAATTTTGTCTAAATATTCAAAGAACCCTGTTAAATTTTTGAGGCCCCTTCTAGTTTTAAAATCAAAATTGGCCAATTAACGGAAAAATCGACTTTCCCACTTGCAACACTATTTCACAATTAACGCGCAATTCTCACCAATTGTTAATTCTGTTTTTTCCATCCTACGACTAAAAATAAAAAAGGACTTTTCAACTTTTGCTGAAATATAAACGTTTTACGATAACGGTTAAGCATTTGTACAATACATTTAAAAAAAGAATGTTAATTTGTGGTTTATTTAGGCAAAATTTTACTTTCTCAGAATATTATAAAGCTTAATGAATTTTGTTGAAACAAGGCATTAATAAATTAGATATCTTTATTTTTTCTTGTCTGCAGTAATTTATAAAATAAAGCCTTCATTTGAAATATATGTCAATGTTGATGAATTATAATATTATATACAAAAGACAAGATTAACTCCGGGTAGAATTTTTTCCCAAGTCCTACACAATTTCCCTTGGACCAATAATTGATGGCTGTATTATTTTCATCTAATAATTGATTTTAAATAAACCTATCGTAGGACGTTCGGCTAACTTTTCCCGGGTTTTCCTAAATTAAAAGCGGAGAAAGGCCACTGAGGAAAGCGAACGGATTAAGCACTTCAGGGGGGCTTCTAAATCAGTAGCCGGGAAAATTCCCACGCTTCCGATGCTACAGTTTCGTCAAATATTTTAACTTAAAATAAGTTGGCCGGCTCTAAATTCAACTCCGAAAAAACCGAGTGGATTTTATGATTACTAAAAAATAATATAACGTACTATATGTAACAAAATAAAATAACTATTCTTAAATCCCACAGTACAAAATACGATAAAAAATATTTAACTTTGAAAAAATAAATAAAATAAGCTCTGCTTAAACTGACGAAGAAAGACACAGAATCGAGACAAATATTATTTTTCTTATATCCAATGATTTTTCTAAAAAAATTTGTTATTATCAATATCATCTTCTCTTAAATAACAACTAGATTAAAGATTATTTTAAAATGTATATATGAAAAAACGAGAAAATTCTATTTTTAGGACAGCAAAGCAGGAACTAAGACAATCCTGATTTGTTATTAAATTTTTTGACCATTTAGATTTATTTGATTAACTTGCATTTACATTAAATTATAAATCAAGAAAATAATAAATAAAGTGAAAAATAAGATCAAATAGTTAAAACCACATTTATATGGTCAAATCCCCTTATTACTCCTTGCTAAACACTTTACCTATTATTATCAACATTGACATTTTATTAGTGCTATGAATGCAAGTCAAGCCTAGAAATTTTTTTTAAATTTAAAAAAAATATATATAGATAAAAAGTATAAATAAAATATATTATTATAAAAAATTATAACAAAATTTATGAAATAAAATCAAGAATATGGAGTTTCTGTGACTTTTTCGTCAGGCATTTCACAGTGAACCTCTTTTAAATCTATTAGGTACATTTTCAGAAAAGGGCATTAAATAATTAAAGAAAATGACTGAAAGTATACTTTTCGAACTAATTGGTCACTTATTACCCAAAAAAAATAAAAATAAAAAAACTTCAACTGTCAAACAGGAAGAAAAATGGAAAAGACGGTTTCATTGACTTTAATAATTATTTATAATTTTAGCAAATATAATTAATATATTAAATAATAAATCATTACGTGAAGCTCGAGATTTTGCTATTTCAAATCATTAACGGGATTCCGATTAACACGAGGGATTTTATTTTGTTCGAATAGCACTAGGAAGAGATCAAGTCTCAGGCTTCTTTTTTATATAACGTGTCTTATTTAATTATTTAAACGAAAATTCCTTTAAGAAAGCAATAATTAATTATAGAAGAACGAGCACCTACTGGTACGTTATTAATTAAAAAAATACAAAGAAAAGAACAAGAAACAGGACGTAAATGCCGTTTCTACTCAGATAAAACCGACCTATTTATCATATATGTAATCGAAACCGATGTATCTTTCCTGTAATCGAGATTTTGATTCGAGATTAAATTATTAACAGGCCAAGGAGAATGAAACGTGTTTGATATTTATTGGGAAAAAAAGATTTGTATGCACATCTGACTCTATCTAGCACGAAGAAATAATGTATTTGTAATATTGATCAATAGTGTATTCTGTAGTTTATTTATTTCTTTGAGAAAACTAGAGAAAAGACGGTAAAGTTTAGAGGTAGCATTTTTTTTTCTAAGGAAAGTCATTTTTAAGATTTTTATTTTATAGTTTATGATGATGATCTGAATACTCTCGCTATTCCTGACAAAATCAGATTGTTTGTTATAAGGTACTACGGATGTACTTTGTCCTTTGATCGAAGTATACAATCTAGGGCAGGCAGAGCTGATCCAAAGGCAATGCAAACTTGTCATTATCAAAACTAACCAGTCGCGCTTTTCAAAAGGTTAAATTTGACGTTTGCTACTTACAGGCCATGTGAAGTCAAAAGGGAACGAGATGAGGTGTCCGTTCGGCGTGAGATCCAGCGAATTCGTACCGAGGACCGGTGTGACGAGATCGCCGAACGTGCAGTTGCTCGTGTAGTCCACCTGGGCTTGATAGTGCTTTAAGCAGGCGCGGAGGCGGGTCAAGCACGGCCTAGGGCACTCGCCGCCTCCGCCGCTTCCGCCTCCGGTGCAGCACTCGCCCATCGAATCCCGCCCCAAGGGGTTTTCGAGGGAGAGGATCTTCAGTTCGAACACTCCTGATGACTGGCACTGGGGAAAAAAAAACACAATTTAAAAAAATGTAAAAAGAAACAAAGAGAAAATTTTAAAGGAGGATCCGGATTCGCTTTCCTTCGTCTTTGGTCCAAAGCGGATTTTGCACAAAAGTCATATCAAAACAGATCAGGACGAACTTAAGATAAAAAATTTAATGAAATTCCCAGCTTGAAATTAAACAAATTATATTTTCTTTTGAATCAATAACTTCTTTGAAATTGTTACTGATAACTGTCATCGTTGTCATCGTGCCAAGCACGCAATTCCTTCAAAGCTGCCAGGCCTGGGGGGTTCAAACTTTGACGTGGGGTTTCTGCGATTACCAAGGACTTCGGGCTGCTTTGTAAGTTGTCCGCTTCAAAACCAAAAGAAAATTCATCGAGGAATGATGGGAAAAAGCGCCCAGAAGGATCAAGAAAAATCATCCAATTTTGAGAGGAAATAAAATGATAACTTTTACCATCGATTACTGGGTAAATTTAACGTGTTTTTATATTAAATTTACATCATGTGAATAGAGATTTCCTTCTTAGGAGGTCGTTATAAAATATTTGACCACCTGGGACAATTTTTCCCCTTAAGAAATTGGAAAAATCGTCCTTTTTGGAAATGTTGAGAATATTCTAAACGTGGACTTTTTTCTTGAAATTTATTGTTTATCTAACTTGTTTTTAAATGCTAGTCCATGGAATTTGTTAAACAAATTTATACTTTATTTAAGATTAAGACATGATGCCAGGAGATCTTAAATTGTTCACTTATCAGTATTTAACCCTAGACTTCACCCTACCTTGTGTATTGCACCGAATTTGGCCTTGTTTCAAGGATTAGACAAATCTCAAAATTTCCGCTTTGTGAAAAAAAATATGATAAAATATCCATAATCCGATTCTGTTCGGACCGAGATCGTCTAATTCAGGACGGGGATTTTTTTCTCCCCCGATGGGTCTCGCTCGGCGGATTCGTCCGGCCGGGGATCTTTATTTATCTCGGGTTCAAGTGCGCTCCGGAATAGATTTATTACGAATTTGCCGGATGGGCATTTGGGGGGGGGGGGAATAAAAATACAAAAGAAAATTTTTTTGTCGACTGATTCCTTTTATATTTGGAAAAGGATTGTCGCTTACGGCCGGCTCATCGGGGCTTAAGTCGAGCCGAAGATTAGCCGTTCTTAAATAAAAACCAAGACTGGTAAAAACAACCCATTCTCAGGATATTTACAATAATGTCCAGGTAACTTAGAAATGAGGAAAATAATGATTTACAAAAAATAATCCAAAAGTGAAGAAACAAGAAAACATTTCTTACTTTTTCTATCCATTACTACTTACAAATTAATCAAATTAATTATAAAATTATATAATGTCAATATAAAAACTGCCAAATGAATAATCTACCAATAGTCTATATAAACAAATGAACATTTCCATGTTTAAATTTCTCAAGCACATTCCTGGTTTCGGTTCGACTAGTCTCGCTTTGTACTTAATTTCCGCCCATAATTAGCCCATAATCATTTAATAAAATAAGACCCTAAACAATTCTATAAACCAAAAAAATACGATGGGTCAGGGTTAATTTCAATTCAAAATCCAATCCTTGAGTATTAAAAAAAAAATCACAGCAGTAAATTAGCAATTTGGACCAAAAAATCATAGTTTTCTATAAATCTAAGTATAGAAAAACAAAACTCAAACCCCCTACTTTTATTACAAATTGTCAAACATAGAACAATCTTATGCAATGCGATCATAAAAACTTAAAAACATAACAGGCTGACATCTGAATAGTAGTTTTTACGCCGTAACTTGAAAAATTGAATTTCAAATTTTTTTTTGTTTCAACACAAGCACATTATCGTATATATAAATACATATTTGCATGTATTTTATGCACTTGTGCGAATATAACCATCAAGAGCTGTATTTAAAAGATTCATGGGTGTTTGAAAGAGAAAAGTTTGCAGCATAAAGCATCAAGCGTAAAATTCAACATAACAAAAGTTTATTTTTTTATTTACTATTTTATATCACGAGGAAAACTCTTTTAAACTCTTATTTTCTCATATTTCCCAACATATATAACGAAATAAACAATAAAATCTAAATGAAAAGTAATAAATCGTAAAAGAATCCTTTTCTGAATTTTTTAATGGTCTTATTAAATACAGCAAGTTGGAGGAAATTGAAAAACTTACGAAGCTTTATAAGACAGATTGTTTATTTTAAAAAAAAAACAAAAAAAAACAAGAAAACGAGGGAAACTAAACGGACCCAATGACAACTATTAATTAAACAGAAAAATCGGAAGCACCTCGTCAAGTTTGACCTTCCTTGGCATTTCTTGTATAAAAAAATATTTATTTAAATTGGTACCATTTTAAAAATCAATCATATATGCTATAAACCAAACTTTAATTTTATGAAAACTATCTAAAAATATTGACCTTTTTTCCATGGATTTATGTCAATCTATGAATTATTAATGAAATATTTGGGAGAAAAATGTAGTTTAAGACCGAAATTGTTTGTGAGTTTGTGATAAAAATTCGCAAGTTCGAGTGTTTGTTTACGATTTATCCTAGGATGTTGTTTTATGTAATTTATGTTAAATTATTGTTTTATTTAAACCGAAATTGCATTTAGTAAACTTTTATATGGAGAAAATCACGCTGATGATGATGGAAATGTATAAAGATAGTGTGTTGACTAATTTTTCTTATTTACTTTTTGTATTTACATGAGAAATTTTAGTACTTTCGATGTCAGTTGGTCAATTTAAGTATGTAAAGTTACCTAGTACTATAAAGAAATTTTCAATCGAATTTAGCGTCGTCGTACAAAAAACACCGTTGGACTTCATCGCCGAAGTTTTTGAAGTAACCCCCCCCCCCCCGACAGAATGATTTCCACCTTCCTCCGGGCCGAATGTTGACCAGTCCCAGGCGAAAAACCGCCGGTGATTTTAATGGTAAACTTCGTAGAATCGAGCAGATGCTCGCCGGCAGGTGCTTAGATGGCCACCTTGACGAAGAAATTATCCGAAGTACGGGGAAAGAAAAAATTCGAAAAACGAGTCTTTTTACCATAACCAAAAACGGCTTTTCTCTATGACCCAAAACGGAGCCAAACCCTTGTCAACGTTGACAAACCACGACTGACAACTTTGCCTAAGAGAAAAATGGACGATAAAGAAGGTCAAAAAGAACTATTCGTCAATAATATCAAAACGTTTCAGTCTTTACAAAAATCGAAAAACATGTTTCAATTAATAAAATGTTATCTGGAAGAAAAATGGGCGAAGTATACAGTATATATATTACAGTCGATACATCAGTCTGATAGGTATGTTAGGTGTTTGTTATTTAGTTATACTTAAAAATACGAAACTAGCGAAACAAGGCGGACCAGGATTGTTATTTTTTGTTAAAACAAATATAAACATTGTCTTTCATTTTTGATCTATAATAGTAAAGTTGTTTTTGTCAAGCAATAAATTCATGAAGTTTACATTTCATAATAGCAATACCTTTAAAACCGTGTAAAACAACGTTTTAAAAAAAATGATTTTGTGATCATTTTCGTCAGTGTTTACAATCTAGTAAGGTGATCCTGTCGAAACCTTTTCGTCGTATGATTCGTCATAAAACGTCCAACCTCGCCATCACGTGGTTTTACGTCCAAAACCGGAAAGGTTACGTATTTGAAAAAAAAATCCAGGATCGAAGTAAACATAAGGCTGGAGTTTTCAACATTGACTTTTAATTATAAAAAAAACATACAAGAAATTTGGATGCTTTTCTTAGGGTCGGAAAAAAACCGAATGCGCGATAAACGATTTATATCGCAGGTTGGATAAACGACGAAAAAAACATCCGATTTTTTTGGCTATGGTTTGTTATGGATATGGACATGTCACGATGGTGGAATGACTTTTGTTTTAAAGGTGGAAGCTAAGAGGAAGAAGTTAGATGATGAGCACGCTGAAATCGTGTAAATAGACTGAAGTTTAGCCCTTTTAAACAGGTATTTTTTACAGGTGTAAACAAGACTACACGGAAATGAGAAACGCGATATAACGAAAGGACAAGAGGTAATCCAAAACCGTGTTTTTCAGAGCATAGCTAGAAAAAAAAATACGTATAAAAAGTAAGAAAAAAAATAGGACTCACCTTAAAAGGATAACCAAGGAGAAATAGCAATAGAGTAATCCCAAACATGACTGAGGAAATCTTGAAATCACTGAATCACTTGAGATCACAACACAAAACACAAAAAAAACACTCCCCAAAAAAAACCCAGAGAAATAATTTTTTTTGGGACGGATGTTGTAAAAATTCACGAGCCGTCAGACATGGCGAAATCTCTTCCTTTTAATGTTGAAGCCGGTGTGATAGCTCAGCATCCGAGTGGGTAAGACGCGGCACTTGAAGTGATGAGAAAGAGCGGCTGTGGAAGAGATAGTCGCGGTAGAGGTGTGCAAGCTAGACTGACTGTGGTGGAGGAAGTCGGCGGAGGTCTCGAGGACGGGGCGCCCCTGGCGGTCGGCGCAGCTTGGCCCACGGGCCACCAGGGCGGCGAAGCACCCCCTCCCCGGGTGGCGAAGCCCCTCCTGGTGCTTCGTAGCCACCTGCGGACTTGGGCAGATGAGCAACAGGCTGGAAGCCGGTCGAAGCGACCTCTCGGCCTCAGAACGACGTCACCAACCCTTCCTCACCAATTCACAACACCCAATTTCACGATAATATCAAATCATCACATTCTGTCTGGCAAATTTAGCCATTTCGGTCAAATTCACAGAAAAATAACTAGTCAGTGTTGTACCCCCACATATAACCCTGATGTCATGTCATCGGATTTTATTACAGAACATCACCAACCTAAAGTTACAGTTTTTATCGCCCGGACAGTAATCGCATTATAATTTTTGAGGTATCTTCATAAGGTCTTTGTGATGAAGTAGACGTTTTTAGGTTCACCAATCTTTCGGCGATTTATATCACTATCTTCAGGGTTTTACCCCCACATATAACCCTGATTTCAAGTCAGCGGATTTTATTATAGGACGACATCACCAACCTAAAGTTAGAGTTTTTTTTCGTCCGGACAGTAATCACATAATTTTTGAGGTATCTTCATAAAGTCTTTGTGATGAAGTAGAAGTTTTAGGTTCAATCTTTCGGCGATTTATATCACCATTCTCAGGGCTTTACCCAATTATATTGATTAAAACAGTGTAGAGCTATTTTGATTAATGTCAGTTTTAATTAAGATAACATTTAAAACTTAAAGACTAAGGAAAATCCAAAAAAGAAGATCGTGTCTTTTGACGGCTGGTACGACTGTAATAAATCGACTTCACCAACTCATCCACACCTTTACAAACTGATATTTTGTCAGAATGTCGGAACAATGTAAAATGATAAATTCATTGTACGTTCCAATCATCCCGGTCTGCCAGAAAAATTTAGCCATTTGTGTCACAGAAAAGGAAGAAGTCACTCTTTTGCCTTTACCTACTTATAACCCTGACTTTTTCAAGCCACATGTTTAATATTGATCTGGAATATTAATACAACAAGGAAATTCATATCTTTTTATTTATTTCATTTATTCATTTTTTAAATCGAGCCCAATTCACAGAAATGGAACGAGTCAGTATTTTGTTAATATTTACTTACAACCCTAACTTTATTTCCCAGTCCCAGGTTTAAATATTGATGTAGAATATTTCTACAATGGCTGAGTAAAATTCGTATGTTTTTATTTTTTATTTTTTTAGTCCAATGCACAGAAATGGAACGGGTCAATGTTTGGCCTCTACCTACTTATAATCCTAACTATATTTTCCCGGCACTGGATTAAATCATCTTAAAGAATATTTTTATAGTAGTTGAATAAAATTCCTGTTATTATTTTTTTAATTTTATTTATTTATTTTGTTTTGTTTTTTGATGTTCAATTCACAGAAATGGAACAAGTCAGTATTTTGCTCCTACCTGCTTATACCTTAATTATATTGTCCAGCCATTTTTATAGTAGTTGAATAAAATTCCTGTTTTAATTATTTTGATTTTATTTATTTATTTATTTATTTACTTGTTTCATGTCCAATTCACAGAAATAGAACGAGTCAGTATATTGCCCCTACCTGCTTATAACCCTGACTATATTTCCCAGTCACAGGTTTAAATCATGGTATAGAATAATTTCTACAGTAATTGAGTAAAATTCCTTTTTTGTAGTTTTTATTTTATTGTGTCCAATTCCCAGCAATGGAACGAGTCCGTGTTTTGCCTCTTCATACTTATAACCCTGACTATATTTTCCAGTCATATGTTTAAATATTCATATAGAATATTTCTGCAGTGGTTGAATAAAATTCTTATTGTTTATTAATTTATTTTTTCTTCATTGAGTCCAATTCACAGAAATGGAACGAGTCAGTATTTCGCCTCTAGCTACTTATAACCCTGACTATATGTCACATGTTGAAATACTGATACATTTGTTATGATTTATTAAAACTATTTATTTTTCCCAATTTCGCTTTTTAAGTCACATTTACGATGATAAGTAATACATTACAGTGAAACATTCTGTACTTATAACTGCTCATGCTAACTGACAGTAGTCATTCAAGTAAATAGCTCAATTTTTGATTATTGGAGGGGGGAGTGAGAGAAAAGGTTGTGTCAGCAATTTTCTGATTCCTGTTCGTTAGGGATATAAGCAGGGTGTGATAATAATTTTTTGCATTCAACATTTCCACTGAACTTTATTAAATGTATTCATACCTATTTTCTTCGCCTGCTTTATAATGTTGAAACCAACCCCTGACGTGACTTTTATACTCTTGATTTAAATTGATACTAATTAAAATCCTCCTTATATTTTGATATAACAGAAAGTGAACAAATTGCAGACAATAAGTATGTATTGTAATAAGATGGTGTGACGTAAGGGCTTTAAGGAGGGAGAGGCAAGATTCTGATTCATTCCATTTTGTACATTTTTTTTCATTTAATACTGTTTCAAACTCTTCTAGCAACTCTTTTCACAAAATTCCTTATGTATACAAGCTGTTTATACTATTAACTTGTAAAATTAATTATAAATTTAACTTATAAAATATCAAAAAAACTTACACGGATTTAAGCTCTCAAGTATGATCTTTTCTTTTTTGTTATTTATGTCAATATCTTCTTTTGATTTGAGGTAAAAAATATCCTCAAGTTTGTTCCAAAAGACACAAAAGTGCTACAGCGCCGTGTCAAGGTTATAAGCAGGGAGAGGCTGACTTCCTCTCAGTCCTACGTATCTGGCGTGTTCCAACCATGCGCCAGAAAAGTCTATGGATCTATAACAAAAAAAATTAGACGCAATATTCCTATTATTGCAAATATTTAAAACCGATACGCTTCTCAAAACTTTTCACAACCGTTCATAATTTAAGATTTTGTAAGGAATTTATGCCTTTGACTACTTTTCATTAGACATGCACGACGTTCTGATGTATGAAAACAAATGAAATAAAAATAAACGTTGGAGAACACAAGAATGAATAAAGGATTAGTCCTTGTAAACAATTATGTATATACATTGTATAAACAAAAGAGATCAAATAAGGATTAATGTTAGACATGTAAGAGGAGTAGACGAGCAAAATAAAACAACTTTACTGAACGAAATATTGCTATTTATTTTAAATTACAAATAATTTAATAAATCACACTAGGTATAAAAAGTATATATTCAACAACTGACAAAGTCAAGACTTCACAAGATTTTATATTGTAGAAAAATTGTGAATCAAGTAGAAGAGTAGTTTGTATTTTCGGTCAAAGGAACGTTTATACATTTAAATTTTTTAATAATTTCGGTGTTTTTGTCTTTACGTTTTCTCTAACGTTTGTCTTTTATGTTTACATAAATTTGAGTAAAATTTTAATTCATTTTCATGAAAAATTGTGCGTGGGAGAATCACGATCAATTTGTAAATTTCTTAAATTAATTTTATTTTGCCAATTATTGGTTATTGAAAAATTCCTTTAACGCAATACACTTCATCCTTGAATCATCGAATATAATCCCCAAATGATGATTTAGGCGTTCTGTTTAACCATCCAATTTGTGGTCATCATCGCATCCTTTCTTGAGTTCAAGAGTCTTTCTCTTTCTCGGGACCGTATCTCAATGTCGGACAAACTTTCGATCGAGAATGGCACTTGGATTTGCGCTGGAAACTCATTGACATCCTACCGTCTACAGACTATCTCATCTTCAAATCCTACTTTATAATAGGGGTCGGATCGTCACACTCTCCTTTGTAAGGTTGGGCGGGAGTCCCTCAGGGTAACTTCCTTGGGCCGCTATTGTACTCAGTATATACTGCTGATATCCATTAACAACCCGATACTGACTATCTGTCCTCTAGCTCCGACCGTCACCGAACCTTCCGGATACATTCTATTGAACAATGGTTCAAAAATGGCGAAGCAAAAAGAACACAAAGCACTACAACATAACCTTCACCCTCCGTCGCATCACTCTCCATCGAATCTATTATAACCTCACCCAATTCCAACCGACAACGCTTTCCCCTAGCTAGAGCATCTAGACTCACCTGAAACCTCATGTACGACTCAAATGGATAGAATTGAACCGACGATTACTTCAAATATTACTAGACGACAGATCTCTCTTGACAACAAAATACTCGTATACAACTCAGTACTGAAACCCATAAGGTAACATGGGCATATGCAATGATAATCACATTTGTAGATTATGCAATGAGGAGGAAGAAACAGCCACCCATGCCATCTTCGAATGCGAAACATAAACAGGGAGACAAAAGGAAACCCAGGAATGGAATTCTACCAACGGCAGTCAATCACTTAGTACTTTTTAGGAGGAGTATCGAATCGATACCACAGAACTAAGGATCTAGGAAAGTACAATAAGCCAGAATGCTGCTGTGCTTGGGGAACCATACTTAGTATCCATCATCATGATCATCATCGAAATTAATATAGACATACGACATGTTCAGCGAAACCTTCCAATCTCCTTAGAAACCAGACCTTACCATCACGAAGCCTTACATATATTGTCAACTCCCCGTTTTATTTTCTACTGTAACATACTATTCATAACGACCTAAATGTTCCTTTTTTTAATGAAGTTGTAAAATCCAGCTTCAAAAAATCTCATAACCTACAATCCCAAATCCTCATGTACACAATAGTTCGAGTGATTTAGTGATGATTTCTAATTTAGGAGCGCTATCATAGGATAGCTTCTCCACTGATGCTTTTTCATTTTTATTTTTATTTTAATTTGAATTATCTCGTTATCTATGCAAGTTATTGCATTTCGAGCAGATTGTTGCTATATTGTTTAATAACAACAGGCTACAAATTTTACACAGCGATATTCTTCCATCAAAACGATTATATTTTTTCACGTAAAACGTGGATTTTTTAAAACATATCTTCATCCTGGAGGAAAGTTGTATGCATTGTCAATCATCCAGGCCAAATTGGCATTTTCTCATCTGCTCTCAATACCTCACATCGCAAATAATTTCTATTTTTCTATTTCCAGGAGATAAAGATGAAATAGGGGAAAGCTACTCTTGAAAAATAGGGCGGTGAGATTATCTAAAGCGAAATTGCACTTTTCCATTTGCATATTAAATAGATATTGCACATTAAAAAAATATAGTACTATGAATGAGGAACATTTGTAAGTAGTTATTCAGAAATCGTGAGATGCGGTCTGGTATTTGTTAATTGTAAACGATGTTTGTAAATCCCAGGCCCTGAAGATGATCTCAATAAAGATCGAAACGTTGGCACGATAAAGAAAATGTTTTTCTGAAACCTACATCCCACCAGACCGCNGGCCCTGAAGATGATCTCAATAAAGATCGAAACGTTGGCACGATAAAGAAAATGTTTTTCTGAAACCTACATCA